TTACATAACATCAGTACGGCATGGCAGAATATTATTTACATAATATCAGTACAGCATGACAGAATATTGTTTACGTAATATCAGTACAGCCTGACAGAATATTATTTACGTAATATCAGTACAGCCTGACAAAATATTATTCACGTAATATCAGTACAGCCTGACAGAATATTGTTTACGTCAAATAATTTCGTCCTTTTGTTCATGAGCACAAAGCTTCTATTTCGATAAATTTAATTTTTATATTTTTGTACATTAGTGTGTTTTTAACTGACATAATATTATTCACACACTTATATTAATTTATATTACCATATGGTAAGTTAAAAAGGGCTCAAAAACCTCATATATATTATATTACTCATCACCATTATAAGAAATCTAACTGTATTTCTTTGGTTTGCTGACTTTAGCTCAGCTGATGAGCCTTGAATAGCAGAAGGTCTGACGAATCAAAGAATACATTAAGCCACCACGTCACGGATTATATATTTTATTTAATTTTTTGCAAAAAGAAAAGAAGTTGTAATATAATCATTAAACATTTTAAGTAAGCAAGAAAATGTTATTTACTGAAACAGTTATGATACTTCAGCGATATAGGCATCTTTCTTCCTAAGTCAGTGGTAAGCTGGAGAGCTTATAACGCTAAAACCTGAGGTTCGATTCCACGCGATTTCAAATTTCGTAGCTTAATGTTTGACAAAAAAACAAAGAAACAAGTCAATTATAGTGTAGAGAAAATCAACTATTTGTGAAACAAGTTAACAGGCCAAAGTAGAAGGTAATCCTTCAATATTTTCAATCTTAAGTAATAAAAATTATTATTGATTAAGTCCAATACTATTTGCATTATGATTTAAAAAACCATATTCATAAAACGTGTTCATTGTTCCTGGCATGTTCTGTGTTAAAACGTTTTCATTGTTCCTGGCATGTTCTGTGTATTAGAACATTTTAAACTGCATAAGTTACCAAAACTTGAGCAATTCCAAGATTAATTTTTCATAGAATTTTAGACCAAAACTGCATAAAGTGTTATCTGCGCACAGCTTCTTATAATTTTGGACTCATAGACTAAATGAAGGCAGCTAGTTAACATTGCCCACCTCCAATTCTTATGTTACTCTTACCTAATGAAATAGTGGATTCTGATTGTCACATTTACAGGTGTCCATCAAAACATCGGGTGGGTTTTTACTACTGAAACATTATGAATTTACTTGGTTTTTGGGGGGAGATGGGACTTTTATGCTATGTCAAACGGCCTTGAGGAGTTGGTTGTACATCTACATATCAAGTTTTAAGTTGTTTGGGATGGTATACCATTCCGTATGAGATATTTCTCTCTAGAAAGCTACGTTTCATTCAACCGGCGATGAGGAGTTGGTTGTACATCTACATATCAAGTTTTAAGTTGTTTGGGATGGTATACCATTCCGTATGAGATATTTCTCTCTAGAAAGCTACGTTTCATTCAACCGGCGACATTACTTCTCAAACTTCTAATCTGGAACACAATTAGATTTTAATATCATGAGTTGCCATATCTCCTTGCAGGTTAACAGAGAAGCCAATATCCTTAGTACAACCATGACGTATTCAAATGTACTGAACGTCCAGCGGTCCTGTTTCTTAGTAGAGTGTGAATAGGCAAATTCCACAATATTCTACACCGTACTGACCGGACAAACGCCATATTATAAATTCAAGTCCTGGCCAAGATAAATCTTTTATACCATCATTTATACTGGGACAACTAAATATGCTTACGAAGTTTGTGGCTGTTTGTTCAAACTACATACTCCTAACCAGTTTGTTTGTTTGTTTTGTTCAATTTTGTCTGCTCTATTCGTCCTTACTTTTGGTGTAATAGACTAGATGGGAAGGCAGATAGTCAACACCATCCACCGCCAACTCTTAGGCTACTCTTTACCAACGAATAATACGCCTGTCCGTCACATTATGAAACCTCTACGTCTGAAAGCAGGTTCGGTGACGAGATTCGAGCCTGCGAACTGAAGATTGCGAGTCAATTGCCTTAACCACCACGCCATGTCAGGCCTTAGTCAGTTCGGTACAGTACGATACGGTGCTTAAATTGAAGGATTCAAATAACACCAAGTCTATGTTATATAATAATAGGCAACATCAATTTTATTAAAAAGGAATTTGCATACGTATGATTGTGGCGTACATAAAAACTTTAATTAAGTAATTAGTAGATATTATCCAGTTTATTTATTTAAACATAAATTATTCATCATCGAATTCGATGACGAGGAACCCACTTTGAGACTAATAATGTCTGGAGACGGCTTGAATGGGTATTGAAGAAAAACTTTAACATAAGAGCAAATGTACAACGTTTCGACAAGGTACCTGATGATG